TTAATTTAAAACATGTATCAATATTGCAAATGGTCTTTGCTAAATAACAAATTTCTTATTTATATCAGCCTCTATAATAAAATATCATTCTGTTATTTTTTTTGCAACAAATTATTTTATTTTATTGTAGGTAAAAGGCATTATTAATTATATTCAAAGCATTGTAAAACTTGCAAAAATTTAGATTAGAATTATTAAACCAATCAAAAATTGTTTGTAAAAAAAGATCGAAATTAATTAGTGAAAGCAATATTTTAATTTATTTATAATGGTAACTGTTTAATCATAACATTATTGTAATATTTAAAGAAATCAAAGTCTTTAAATATCCAATTATAACAATAAACATATCCCTTCACACTTTATTGAACGATAAATAATTATTAAGATTTTATAAACGTTATAAGAAAAGTTTAAAAATGAATGTGCCTATTTTTATTTTTTTCAGAAATTTAGAATTTATTAACTGTTTTAAAATCTTATCTACTTATTTTTATATGAACTCTAACCAAAACCTTTTTATGAATTATCATTTTGCTTAAATTAAATTATTCCAATTCAAAGATAGTGAATTGAGATTATTGAAAATTCTTAATAAATCTGGTGATATGGCTAATCTTAATTCTTGTCTGATGGTGTTTATTGTCTAGTAATTTCCCCTAGTGGAAACCTAAAAATTTTATTCAAAGTCTATCGAATTTTGGTCTACTTCTTCAAAAATTACAAAGCTTAATTTTAAATTATAATCCATGATAATTCAGTTGATCTTGGAATATCATTTAATTCAAATGGAAATAATAATATAATCCTGGCTATGAAAAGTTCAAATAAATAAAAATGGATTATTACTAAAACAATTAGTGAAGAATATAGTGTGCTAAATTGGCTTACTTCGAATAAAATATTCGTTTTTAACCATATAAATCTAAATACATTCAAATCTACACTTACAATAATCTATCAGGAAACTACATTAAATTCTAATATATACTAGTGAAAGGAGATAATGAATCCTGTTACATTAATTTTTCATCTGTTTATATTCCCTAGAAGTAAATTAATAGATTTTAAATTACTATTATCAAATCGGTTAAATTTAAGTAAGAAAATAATTATCGACAAATAGGGATCATTTCATTTATATAATGTTTCAATAAAACACTTTTTTACTAATTGAATTTAAAATTTGAAATTTATTCTATGAAATTCAAAGTATTTTGTAATTATCATCTACATTTTATTACCTTATGTTTGCTAACATAAATAATTTGAGAAATTCAATTGAATTTGATAGAGCATCCATTAATCAGTTCTAATATCAGATATTTATGATTATTAAATTTTAATTATACTTAAATTATCCATCATATAACATAATCTGATATCATAAGTAACAACTAAGTATTTTTCTTTGTACTTCATCCATAATTGGGATTGATTATATTTTTTTTAATTATTGAGTCTAACCTAGAAATAATTATAATAAATAAAATTAAAATTTTAATATTTCCATAGTTTTAATTGATCAAAACATTGATTATATTAATTTCATATAGTACTAGTTAAAATATATTAGAAAATAATTATTATATAGAATATAAATTGTAGAATAAAAAAATAACATATTTCATCATCAATCTGTTGGTGTTTTAGTTGAGATAGCCCTTTTCATTAATCTCTCTTTTATATATATTTGATCTTTTCTTAGCAATCCTTCTATTATTCTTGAAGATCTCGAAACATTATTTCTAAAGGGTAAAGAGTAAATCTCCTTTTTGGTAATTTCACTCTTGAAATATTATTTAATTTTGATTAGTTTCTAATACTGTTTCAATTATTAAATCTAATATAAAGCTAATTTGAAGTAATTTATAAATTAAAATATCTAACTTCTACAATTTAGAGTTTTTTTTATCTTAAAGTATGTTGAATTTTATATTTTTTTCAGTAATCATTGATTTAATTCTATTTTCATAACTTTTATTTGGATATTTTTATAAATTATGAATATGAGTAATTCTGCAAGGTATTTAATATTTTATTTTAACTAATTATGGATTTTATTCTTAGAATTTTTTTAATTAATATGCTGAATTATTTTTAAATATATTTCACAGGTTATATTTTGATTTTCTAAATTTTTATGAAAAGTTTAGTCCTTTTTTAGTTACTTATAAAAAAATATAATATATTCTTTAATCTAACTTGTTTTGATAAAAATTATAATATGATTTTTGAAATGAAATTTTATTTTTGTTGTAAATATTATTATAGAGTAGACTTAAAAGATTAATTCAATATAAAAATTTGTAAAATAAATCTCATCATGATATATAAAATCATATTAAATAGAAGGTGATAGATATTAAGTTATTCTTAAATTTATATTTGTAATTAGACCAATTTTGATTCTTATCATTTATTCAAAATTGATACAAAATTTAATTAATAGATAACTAAAATGTTTAAAACTTCTATTCAAACCGGATTCATATTATTTTCTTGATTTTGTATAAAATTCAATACTATAATTAAATATATATTATACCATTATTATTGCATGTCATTCTATTTTTGCATGAATTTTTTGCTTCAATTATGAAATACCAAAGATATATTCTAATTTTATATTATTAATTACATAATTCAATTAAAATTTCACATTTATTGTATTGTGTATTTGATAAGATTAATAGCTAATGATTTTCTAGAATTAATCTAAAGAAATTCCAGTTAGCATTAAAAAAGTTCCCCATTTCTTAGAAGAATCTAAAAGGCTTATTTGCAGATAAATGCAGAAATATTTGTTTAAATATTATTAATAATCAATTATTACCACAAACTATAAAATAGAGAAATAGCGTAAATTTTATATTGAAAAATAAACTGTAAAATTGAAGGAAATCAAGTATTTGTTTAATTATAATCTGAATTATTTGTGTTAGGTTTAAATTAGGATTGTTTAGTAACTGATGAAATTTAAACAACTTATAATCTGTTGTATCAAATCAAAATTCAAATTTAAGAATAAAAATAAATATTTGGTTGGATAAATTATCATAAAATACATAAATCAATTACTAATCTCTTTCTTCATATTTTAAATATAACCATTCAAATAAAAATGCTTCATAATAAAGATTTAGATCTATACTTAACAATCCTTACTATTTACTTGAATTTTTAATTAAAATTTTCATTAACGATAATCCTTATTACATTAAAGTCAATTATTAACCACTTTATTTAATTTATGAGTTATAATTAAGATAAAATTAATAATTTAGAATGGATATTTTAATGAATGATTGAAAAATAATAGAAAAATAAAAAGATCGATTTCAAATATTATCTTAAGAAATTGATAATAAAGATCTATTAGTTCTTTTATTGATATGATTTTATTTATTCTGTTTAAAAGAAACTATCCTTATAGATTGAATAACTTTATAAGTAGATCAATTTAATTATCCTAAAAAATCATCTAAGTATCTTATTTAGCAAATTTTAATACAATTTGTGTTTTATCCAATTTTAGTGTATATGAAATATCAAAAATTTTCATCAGATGTTTGAACTTAATTTTCTTTACAATGACATAGATATATGATTGACTAAGAGAATATAATTAACCATGCAAAATTTTGATTTCCTTTTATTATATAGCTATACTTGTCTTAACTTAATGAATATTATTGATTTACTATTAATTTTTCACAATTTATATTATTTTCACTAGAGTTGTTTGTATCATTTATGACTTTTTTCTCTTAAAATAACTAGAAATATGATATACATTTTATTATTTTATACTTAGCCAATATATTTCTAATTCTATTAGAAATTAAATTAGATATGATCTGATAAATCATTCGATTAAAAATTCTCCACTTAAAAGCCAGTAAACTATTTCTTTGGGTCTCATTAGAAGAATAGCATGCCCATATATACCTATTTATGAAATTATCAAAATATAGTTTAATATTAATTTCATTTTTAAATATCTTATTATTGTAAATTGATAAATCAAATTCATCTTGATTAGAAATTATGTAATTTAGAAATATTCATAATAATTTTAATATATCAATTTCTGACACAGATAATACCTTTAAATTAGGTTTCAAATGAGGAAAAAATGATATTTAAAACATAGATTTGATTGAAAAGATAATCTTTAAAGAAATCATAAGTGTGTAATTTAAAAAAAAATATCATAGAAGATTATAAAAGACTTAAAAATTTTAATTATATTCAATCATCAATTATCGAATAAAGGTAGATCAATCAACAAAAATATAGAGAAAGTAAAGTAAAATAGAGCAGGCAATAACTCAAATGGAGAAAAAACTAGAAAAATCTTAATCAAAACTTAATTTTCAACTTTTGAAGATGATGTAAGAAGTTTATCAAAGAATTAGATTTATTCAGCTTTGAAGGCTCCTAAAAAATAGGAGTGTTCTCTGGTTGAAATCCCTAAATTTATTCAATATATCAGTAGCTGCAATTTATAAATAATTGCCCTAAATAAATCTATTTCAAAGAAAATTTGGAAAGGATTGAATTAGAAATTAGCATTAATTAGTAAAGATAATCAAATTCATTTGTATGAAAGAGAAAAATCAATTATTAATAATTATATAATACTTTAAATTAAAATAGTTTCACTTGATTAATCAAAACAAATTTATTATAATGAAACCAAGATAGTTTACTAATCCAGGAATATGAAAAAATATTATTATGAATAATATTTGCACAAGAAAAATAATAATAAATAGGATAAAAGTTTAATTTTATTTACTATATAAATAATTTAAGATTTATTAAATAGTTATCTAATGAGTTTTTAATCATATATAAATTCATACTGATTTCTTTATTCAATAAAATGGCAAAGTTTATATTAATTAAAACCAAAAATATTTCTGTTAACATTCTGTCAATTAATTTTCATATTGAATTTGATTATAAATAATTTTCATTAACAAAAATACTAAATGAACTAGGATAACATTTTTGGAAATAATTAGATAATCAAAAAACCAAAATGTAGAAATAATTTTAATTTAGTTAATGAATAAAGCTTATAGAGTAGAAATATTGATGGATATTCATATTGTAGTTCATATTATGAGAAAATAAACTTCTAGATTTAATTCGATCAATAAGATAGTATTTCATATATTAAAGATGGTTAAATCTTGTTAAAGTAAAACTTTTTAACTAAATTCTTAGATATTAGATAAATGAAGACTTTTCAGATGATTCAATCATAAATAACTTTGATTTTCTGTAATATTTAATATGGGATGGTTAATATTATAAAAAATAAAAAATTGGCAAGTGGACTGCATATTGGAAGGGTAATAAATTAGATGCTGGAGGCTACTATAATGAGGATGGCTAAAAAATAGGTATATGGATAGAACCTGTCAATATATTTAGGGAGTATTTATAAATATTTAATTTCTAGTTATATTTTTGTTAACTTTGTTGGGGAATACTAATAAGGGATACGAGTAGGAAATTGGGAGTATTTTTTAAATTACTTCAATTATAATATTAAAAAAATTGTTCTCCATTGCAGAGGTTAATTTAATGAGTCTGGAATCAAATAAGGCAAATGGATCGAAAAAAGTTAGGGTATTTCAGAGTATTATAATTATATAAATAATAGTTAATCTGAAATAATAAATTATGGAGAATATAAAAATGGAAGAAAAATTGGAATATGGGACACATTCAGCAATAAAAAGCTCATGTAATCATGAATATATATTTAATATCAGTTTTAGTGGATCTTATGATATGAATGGAAAAAAGAATGGGTAATGGTAGGATTTGCATTAATTCTTCGATAAGTTATTTAAATAAAATATTTTTAGAGAATCCAACATCTATTATAAAGGAAAATATAAAGAAAATGTAAAATATGGTTATTGGGATATTGAATTACCTAATTATAATTTTATTGAAGAATATGAAGGAAAGAAAACTAAGTTTAGAATAAATTATTATTATAGTTTAGGAGGTATATATGATAAAAACGGCGTTAAAAATGGAAAATGGGGTGAAATTCATTAAAAATATATGTAATCTTTAAATTTATAATAGACCATGTCAAGTAATATATATTGGAAAATATAAAAAAGGACTTAAAGTTGGAAAATGGAATATAGTTAATGAAAATGAAAATGTTATGTATAATATTAGTAAAATAGATAGAGGAAGTGGAAAATTTAATAAAAATGGTTATAAAGTAGGTTATTGGAGAGAAATATATTATGCTAATGTTATTATAATGTATGAAGGAAAATATAGAAGTGGAAAAAGATTTGGAAGATGGAATATTTTAAATGACAATGAGATTATGTAATTATACCTCATGAACTAATTTAGTGGAGGTGGTGAATATGATGATAATGAAATGAAATAAGGATACTGGAAAGAGTTTCATGAATATTTTTATGAGTAAATTTATTCATAGCTTAATTTATTAGTAATTATGACATAATTTGTAAAGGGCAATACCTGAATAATAAAAGAATCGGAAAATGGAAATGTAATTGTACAATTTCATTTATAATGTTTACGAAAGTCAAAAAAATGTAATTAAAAAAGTTTTATTTATAGAGAATGTGGTGAATTTGACAAAAATGGATTAAAAAATGGATATTGGATTGATATAAGTAATGATTTCTGGATGTAAATATGTTCATTATTTAAGTCTTCATAAAATAATATTTTGTGGAACTTATAAAGATGGATTTAGAATAGGTACTTGGGAAATTCATTAATATAACAAATCTAAATAAGAATTTGAGAAAAAGTATTAAAATATAAAATTAATTAAAAGAGGAGGAGGAGATTACGATGAGAATGGAAGAAAAGATGGAACATGGATAGATGCCATCATTAATATGTGCAAGTTAAAGAATTTATTCTATTTATAGTTCTAATCTGATATTCATTTAAGGAGAGTATATAAATGGAAAGAAGAATGGAGAATTCATATAAATTTTTTGATGATCTAATTTACAAAATATATCTAAATTATAAAATAATAAAAACTAAAAAGTCAAAAAGTGAATTTATATATAAGTGATGAAGTTAATCTAGGAATTGTAATTATGAATTTTTAATGTCAACTTTTTCAGATAAAATAGTATATATTTTAATATATTTAAACTTTGTTATCTTTATAACAAGAAAGGAGTTCTATTATATTTAGTGTATACTATTAAAACTAAAATTTCAACTATTTATATAAGTAGATTATGATAGATAGGTTATAAATGATGTCTTTATATTATTCATTTCTAAAGGCATAATTCATGACTGAATTAATTATCTAATTTCATTCCATTCTAATTTGTAATAATAATTGCTATCTCATAATTGTTCTAGTTCCTAAAAGCGTCATTGTCTGCAACATTGATTAAATCAATTTATAGAAATTAATACCATCTTACTTCTCATCTGCATACCTTTTCTAAAAGTAATATTTATTTAAATTCAAAACTTATTATCATATCATTATTATTTCCTTTATGATAAAGACTTTTTTTTTTTGATAAGTTTACCTTAAGTGTATTTCCTTACTGTAAACACATTAATTTTAGTTTAAATACATAATTTTTGATTGCAATTTAATAACTGTTATATAATTGGAATGCTATTCAGAGGAAATAAAGTATAAAAATAATTATTGAATCTGACTTCCTCTTTATATGTTCGAATGTTCCTGACTCTAGAAGTTTTCTAAATTAATTTAATATTTATTATCACACTAATTATATTCTTTTTAATATAGAATTTAATTATTGCTTGTATTCACCGTAATAATGATTTACTTAATGAAGCTTTCTTGCAATTCTATCCATCTATCAATTTTCAAACTTTATTGATTATACCAACCATTTCCACTAAAGATAGATTAAATATGATTTTAGTATTTTATTACCATTTTTCTATTCTTCTACCCTCATTATCATATTACCCCTAACAAGTTATTGAATTGAAGCTCATATATTTTGAATTAATTGAATACCGAATATGATAATTTTAATGTAATTCTATCCATTTTCTATTTTTTATACCATTTTCATTCTATACCAATTCCATTAAATTTTAATAATATTTACTATGTTTTTCCATGTCTTACTATATTCCTGAATTATCATATATACCCCTTTAAAAATTATTTTCCAAAGACTATTCAAAAATAGATATACATTACTACCAATAATTATCAGTGATCTACCCACTTAACAAATTTAATTTTTCTATATTAGCCATTAATTTCAGTTTCCATTCCTTCCAAAAGTTCTTTACATTTACCAATCTTTTAGTTTATACTTCCAATATAACCAGTCCACTTCATTATTTGAGCTAATTAATATTCTTAATGATTTAAATAGGCTTTTGCTACAAATCACAACAGATAAATCCACTTTTTTTTAATAATAAAAACTTTTTATATATTTAGATAAATATTTCAACTATTAAAGAAAGTATAATATTAATTATTACTTTTATCAATTTAATTCAAAAATATACAATATATAAAGATAATAATTTTAATTAAATATGTAAGGATGGAATTATGTAATTTGCTTATTTATTCTTAATAAGAGATTCTTAAAAAGACTAGATATAGAAAGCTAGATAAATTATGGAATATTAAACTGATCAATAAAATATATAAAATCAATCAATTTAATTTTCTAATAATAATAATAATTTGGATATTATGATTAATCATTTTGAATGGAAGCTTATTTTTAACTTCAATTTCTGTGACTTTATTAATGAAGTATACATCATTGATGACGTATTAAGTTGGTTACATCGTAATAAAATTTCGTAGGTAAACAACCAACCTGTCTTCCTATTAAATAGTCAGAAGAATAAGGGAGACACGCAGGCTCTGTAAATGCATATTATTCAGAATCAGATTAAAACAGTATGGAGATTTGTAAAGTCGAAGCACTGACAGACCGACGATCTTCCTGACGTCATTCTTTAGAACAAAATGTGGAAGCCCTTCTCCATATCTGTACAAGAGAACTGGACATGCTCAATCTTTCAGAGCACCTTCCAACTCAAAGCTGTGACTATGGATTCGCAACCCCGAACCTTACTTTCAATTCACAACAGGTTTAAAGCAGATGAATAATTTCATTAAAAATAATTTTCATTTTCTAATTTGCTATATTAGAAGGTAAGAATAATAAAATTAATTTTTAATTACTATTCATTTTAATTTAAATGTCAGAAATATTATTATGATTTTGAATTTCAATCATTTTTATATTAAATCCTAAACTAATTTCTACCAAAAACTATTCAATAAGTAAATATGAAATTTAATTATAAATTTGGTATGAATTAGACAATTAAATATCTAGTAGATAATATTTTATTATAATATTTATCATAGAGGTTAATTCTTTATAGAGATAAAAAGATAAATTATTTTACCACTATCAATTCTGACTTAATGATATGTATAATGATATCAATCATTGATTCCTTTTTTGGTCAATGGATTTGCTTTAAATTATTTAATGGTAATTTCATTATTTAACTGTAAATTTAACTGGTTGATGAGTTCATCAAAGTTATTCAGTTTATAATAACTAGAAAGTGATGAGATATTTTTGTGTTGATATTAATTTTTGTTAAAAATCATCTTTAAGATAAAGTGATTATACATTATGTCAGTGATTTATAAATGATTTTATCAAAAGATAAATAAAGATTTTATTAATTAAGTTCAAGATGAAAATAATATGTAAGAATTGTAAATGATAAAATATCTATTTTAATTTTACAAAACCTTTTTAGAAGCATTTTTAATATAAAATTTAAATGAGGACTAACTATAGGATTATAAATAATGTATGGTAATGAATTTTCAATCATTTTATTATAAATAAGAGCTAGTATTAAATTAATATTGGAATTTGTTATTTATTGTTACTGATTAGATGCTAATTGATAAAATATTGGTTATTAAAGTCAAAAGATGAATTTTTGTAATGTTATTAGATTGTATTAATTTCAAATAAAGAATATTTGTATTCAAAATTATATAAAATTATAAAACTTAAGAATATGATTCTTTTAGTTTTATATTAAGATATATCTTTCCTTTTAGAAGTATCATTAAATTTATTGATTTAGGCTTAACGATATTTATTTATATTTTTGTTATTAATCCAATATTTGAAAAATATAAAGGTGTCTCACAAAAATTTCAATTTGCTTGATTCCAATTTTAAATTATAAATTACGCCTTAGTATCTGTATTTCTGACTTTACATAGGTATTTTTTATTCCCTTTGATAACATTTTATTTTAATATTAAAGTAATGAATATATAAGTATCTGTAACTTAAAAAACACAATTTTGCTTAGAATCCATGAAATATAAAAAATTTAACAAAGATTATGAGGTCAACAAATGGTATGAATGAAAAAAAATAATAAATGTAAAATACAAATCACATTTATAAAAGAGAATTAATTGATTTACTCTTAGGAAAATGTATTTTAAAGATATTATTTGATTATTTTGGCTATAAACGGGAACTTAACTAGGAAGATTTTAGAAATTAAGAAATCTTAACAATAATAGAATAAATCTAATTTCTTTAATGGTAAGGCTAATATGGGCCAAACTATAAATAATAAGTTAAATGGATTGCAACTTGGAAAGGGGAAATAATTTAGGAAGTTGATGGATACAATGAGAATGAATTAAAGTTAGGTTAATTGAAACAACCAAGTAAGAATTATTGGAGGTAATGTATACAGAATAGTCAAGCTCAATTATATGAAAGTGGAGAATACTATCTTGATTAAATATTGGGAGACGGAATTATATCTATGATAACTAAATTATGGATGTTTATTAATTAATTTATTAGTGGAGGTGAGTCATATGATTATGGAAGTGGCAAAATTAAAATTGGTTACTGGATTAATTCACATGACCGATTTTCGAATTACAGACAATTGGCTCATAATGGTAAAAAGTAGGTAGATGGGATATTGAGTATAGATATGACAACATTCATCCATTCTCTAAAATGTAAAAAATATTAATTAATTGGGGACAGCGGTAGAGGATTATACGATGATGGACTTAAGATTGGCAAGTGGACTGATTTGGATGAAGGAAAAATAAGTAACGTATAATTATGTATACAAAAATGAGATCAAAGTTGGTAGATGGGATATTGAGTTTCGGTCATACAGTAACAATCCATTCTCTAAAATGTAGAAAATGATATATAGAACAGAAATAGTTGTGGATAATATGATGACGGAAATAAGATGGGCAATTGGATTGATTTGGATGAATAGTTTAAGTATTTAAAATTAGTAATTCATAATGGTGAATATTCTAATTGTAAAAATTTTGGTGTAGTCAGATTGGTATGATCAATCAAATTCTGAATAAAATTCAATTTTTCACAGAAATGGCTAGGGATTTGCATTATACTCCAAACATAAGAGTGACACTTTTTTCCTCATAAATACCTTTATATTTATTCAAAATCTCGATATTTAAAAAAAATAGACTTTTAGCTTTTCTAATCCTTGCCACACAATTTTTGATAGAAAAAAATTTGGTAAAATGAAAGTAAAATGATATAAATTATGAGATTATTTCAGCAATACTTACCTCTTAATCTTTTAAATATTCTTGCATAAATATCGAAATGCTATTTCTAAATAAATGTAAATTTTTATTTACTTATTATTTTAACCCCTTTTATCATGATCTTAATTTATCTACATTTCATCATATGTTATGTAATGAAAAAGAACTTAGAGGACCCTATTTTAATGTTTTAAAATCAATAGAATTTAATAAAAAAGCAGAATCTTAAAATAGAGAAAATTGAATTTAAATATCTCAAGAAATTAGTAATTCATGGATATAAATTAATTTGACTATTTTTTCTTCACTTTATTTGACTTATTTGATTAATAACAAAAAGTAGTTTTATGATTAGGTAAATTTATAAATTTTTATTTCAGTAACCTCTCAATCATTTCAGAAAAAAAGAACAAAAATATACACCAATGAAATAATTTAAGATAAAAGGATATATTATAGATTTTATTAGTTCTAATTCAAAGGAAAAAATAAATCAAACTATAATAATTCCTTTACATCTATAAAAGTATTGATTGGATGAGAAAGTTCTTAGTTTACTTAGAGAAATTTTAACTTAAAATTAATGGTGAAATCGATGCAGAGTTAGTACTCCCTAGCATATTTCTAATATGGTATAGGATATTACAAGCTCTTGATATATATTGTTGGAAGTTGAATTTTAATTATGGATTCATAATAAGATATTTAGATCTCTTATTTATTAACTAGGCTCCAAAATCTATGAAATATTTTTATCTCTTATTAACATTAAATTAAATAACTCTTAAATATAAGAGAATAAAATTAGTCAATCAATCAAATAATTGTAAATTTTTCCTTCTTAACTCATTATTAGGACTTAAGTAACATTTATCTACAACAATAAAGAATTACAATTTAGAATTAATGTATTGTGCAACTTTATTTACAGAGAAAATTAGTTAAATTGATAGTAAGTTAAATGAATTTCCTTTAAATTTGTCCTTTTTTTTTCATTTTTAATATTGGATATTAAATATTTTAATTTTAATTGAAGAGTCATTACATAATTTTTAGATTATAAATTTAAATATTTTATTCTGTAAAGTTGAGATTTTAGGAAACTTCATACTCTTAGTTATGGAGAAATTATAAAATAATAATTGGAATTATGTAATTTAGAATTAAATGCATTTAACTCCCTCAATTTTTAATTTTTTCTATTTTATATATTCAAAAGTTAAACCGTAGTGAGATAATGTATAAAATTAATTTTAATATCTCAAATAAGGCCATGTTTCAAGCTTAAATAAAATCTTTTTGTTTTTTAAAGTTTGAATTTTAATTTTTGCTTCGAGGAAACATCTAATGTAAATAGAATTCTTATATTAAGCTTAAGATTTTGAGAATTATAGTAAAATTATATTGGGATTTTAAGAAATTGTAAATCATATTAAAACAAAGAATGCTTGAAGTTCAAAAATTAATTTATGTTAGTTTTTAAGATAACTAGTGAATGATTATTTCTATAAAATAACTTTTAGATACTCAATTTTTCGTATTTGAACTATTTTTATGTTTATTTGTTTTGAAAGAAAAATAATTATTATTTTCCAAATTACTCAAAGTAAGCAGTGCCACAGATACTAAATAATATCATTCTGAATAATTATTTAATAAATTTGAAGAAACAAATAAGCATACTCTTTAATTGAATGAGTTTAAATAATTAAGTAAATAAATTAATATTTAAATTGCTATTAGTTGTAATTTCATATTCATGAAAAAGGCTGGAATATTGATTAGATTCATTATGTGATTTAAGAATTTTCATCTGAATTTGTAGTTTTTTATCTTTTCATAAATCTCTTACTAATATTTTAAATACATGAAATAAACTGTCATGCTTAAAGGAGTATTGTAAAATTGTCATCAACTATGTTCAATAGTATGGACTATCTAAATAAATTATCAGGAGAAAATTTTTAATATTCCAAAACAAATTTATTTAAATATGATACGATCGATTACATCCCATATTCTTAAAGCAATCCACCTAAACTAGGCCTCAAAATGCTTACCTAAATATTACTTGTCTGATAAAGTCAAAGAAAAGTAATTAAGAGAAAATGACATGCTTTGGATTGCAGCAAATGCAGAGTACTAAATATTCAATAATCATTAGTGACAAAAGGTGTTCAATAATCGAGATTCAAAAATTCATATAAGAAGAGCCTATGCTTGAGTAATCCCCAATTCGACTCATTGATTTGGGAAATAATTATTTCCGACACATAAATCCCAGAAAAAAAAAGACTATGCTTTAACTCTTAGATGCCTATGTTGATAATTTGACTTAAGATGAAAACAAACTATTTTAAGATGCCCTATCAATCTACTTTGATAATACTTATTAAGGGAAGGACATGGAAACCTTAAGTTGTGAAGAAAAGGATTTTCCAGAACCATTATTATGGCATATCTATAGCTTAATGATATTTGATAGATTGAGTAGTCATTATGCTCGATATGAATATCTTGACTAATTCAGAATTATCGAATATTTTAATCAACGAGATAAAGTACTAATATATTTATATATAAAATTTTAGTCTAAAATCAATCGAGTGAAGTATGTATTTACTTCTCATCCAACTTAACCAAATTCATTGACTTAGTTGATTGCTATAAGTAGAATGCTACAAGGGATTGAATAAAATGATTACAAGTATCTTAAGTATGCTGCTAAGTTATTTATTTAATCCAATAAATAACGAGTTTTTAATGTAATCATCCACCTTTATATATTATAGAAAGTGTCTTACATTGAGGAATCATTAATTTATCATACCTAATATTTACCTAATCTTATTAAGGCTGTAGCTCAAGCTTATGAATTAGGTTTGTAGCACCCTGAAGAATATTTTGAGACTCCAGGTACTTGGTTGACATTTGATTTCGATAATCATCCAGGAATGGTAAGCATTTTATATATATTTCTTAGGAAATTGGTATTATGACTTATACACATGGTTTGACAATTGACTTAACCTTATAATAATATAAAGAATACATTTCTGAAGCAAAATTAGACGAGAATGAAGATTTTAAACAAATTTTAGAATTATATTAATAAGCTTTAGAATATAGTAAAAGCTTAAGGGATTTAAGTGATAAATTTAGAGTTAAGAAAGAGATATCCCTTGAAGAATTCTATTAATAAATGCCTATCTTTAATATCAAAAAAATAGAGGATTAAATTAATCAAATTCTTGATCACATTCTGACAAAGAATGATGATTCTAAAGACTATTTTATAGCATTAAAATTGAAAAAACTTTATTCAATTTTCAGATTAACAGGAGTATTGGGACAAATTAGATTAGCTGGTGAAGATTTAACAGATGTATTAATTCTTATATATATTTAAGATTAATAAAATCAAACCGATGATTAAAAATATATTCAAAGAAATTTCTCTTTTAAATGCCAATGGATAAGCAGCAGATATGGTTATTATTGCTAATTTCTAAACTTAATCATAATATGATTTAGTGAATGATCTTATCAATCTATATAAGGTTTAGAATGTAGAAATAGTACCTTTGTTAGAAACCTTTTCATCAACAAATAATACTGATTCTAAAATAACTATGATTGCAAGTAGTGACACACGATAAAGAGATGGATTAATCTTGACTGAACTTAGAAATATGAGAGAATACAAAAGGAATCCAGAAAAGTACATTTACATGGGGTAAGGTATTACTCCAGAAAGAGGAGGTGGACCATATACTTTGATCCATACAAAATATTAAGCTTTAACTAGAGCACAACGAAAAAGACATATAAGAACAATTTAAGGTCACTATTTTACATCAGAATTTGCCAGTGAAGATGTTGCTTTCACTTTTTTGTTAAATGGATTAGCCAATATTAATTATAGTGATGATTTCGAACCTACTTATGAATATATGGATTTTTTGTTTGAATTAGGTAAATGATATGTATAAAGTAGATAATGTAATTGGAGTTCCTTAAAGAGCTATGTAAAAGGCTAAGGAATACAATGACTTGTATGTGAAAAATTAAGTTGTCAGAACTATGGTGGAGTCTTTCAATTTTGCAGGAAGTAGAGAGATTGCTAGACCCTTCGAAAGTATAAAAAGTTAGAGAGCCATCGTTCAAGCTTATTGTAATAGTGACAGATGCTCCTTTACTCATCCAGAATTAGCTTATTGGGATAGAGTTCCAGAAGAATTGATCAACAAAATTGCAACATATTATTATAATAATCATCCTCATATGAAATACATGCTTTACATGTATGCTTTGATGGTTAGAAGATGTGACTTAGATTTTGCAAAATAAGAAGTAGGATTGGACTCCACAAATCCTTATTTTTAAGCTATGTAAAAAGGAAGAGCAGCTTTAATGAAAATTTTAGATCAATTAGGTTTAGGTGACAATAGTACTCCAATGATTGCTATTTGGAAATAACATTTAGGATGTTAATTGTAATCAATGGATATGGAAGTCAATTAAAAGTTTTCAACATTTAGAACCTTGAATTAATTGCAATTGTATTAAGCAAAGAAAATAGTCAAACATGGAATTTTAGAAACTGACATGGTGGCCAGTTAAAGAAAATTGAGAATTTTGTAATCTACATTAGCAAATATGACATCATTTGCTGGAAAAGGTTGAATTTATGATATTAATAATAAATAAAGTCATAAATTTTTAATAATGTTATTGTTTTCCAGTTGAAATAAATTATCAACATATATTTTATAATATTCAGGAAATTGTTATGATTTTCAATTGAATATTAAACAGTTTTTAAGTTAAGATTAGTCATATTATTTCAGGCATTTATATTCTCTTTATTTTTTGTAGATATTGATTTTATTTCTAATTATCAAATAGGAAGAAATATTTAATTTTTTATTAGATTTCATTTATTACTCAGATATGATTCAAAAATACAATATATCAAAATCTTCCTCATTGTAAAATATTCATTCAAAATATAAAATTAATATTAATACACAATTATATTTTAATAATAAAATATTCTTTAAACAAAATAAGTAATACCCAACAGAGTTATTTGAAATACCTACTTATTTTTTGAAAAAGATGAAAATAAAAAAAA